TACATGTGCTCCTTCAACCACACAAATACGTCTTATCCCCCCCTCCATGAAATTCGCTTTGCATCATTGTGTTGCACATGTGATATTTAAAAACAAGGAAGCGAGTGGTGTCATCAGCATTAGTCATCTACATTTGGCACTCGGGAAGAAGGCACAATTGGCTTCTCTGACCAGATTTGATTCTATCTAGGTGTTACTCTTCTATATTGACGAGTTCCGTCTGTGAAGCGAATTTTAGGCTTCCTCCTGTTCAACACAGGTACCAAATTTGAGATGCAAAACTTTAAGATGTACATGATTTCTTGCACAAATCCTCTTGCCGAATCATGGAGCTTCAAATTTTCTGTGGACAAAATCATCCGAGTGCAGTGTATTGCAATGCTCGAGTAATAAACATATACAACAAACTTTTGAGTCTATGAATTTATGATAGTGAGGAGTATAAACTATGAAACATAGATTGGAATCTCATGAGGTCAGTACAACTTAAATGAAGTTCCTAAAAAATATAAGTTGAAGATTTCGTAACATATCAGTTGGTATTTCAATGATAGTTGGACCATAAAGTTTGCAAGCTAGTTTCCCTTCTAAGAAGGGCCAAATACATTCCTTATAAACAGCTGGAACTCTATGTCCTTAGTAAGTTTCCCGAAAAAAGCGACACTTGCACCATCATGGATGTCCGAGTACTTCGCATGCTATTTCTCAAATAAGAATGCACTGGTAACTCTGATGTGCGATTCTTGATAGAGCTACCCACATTATATGATATACATTAAACATTTAGCAATTACATACATATCTTCCATGCAACTGGCTATTATATACCGTTCAACCACATACACGTTTCTGACTTTATCAAACTGATAGGCAAAAAACACAGGATTTAAGATTTATTTGATGGACAAATTTGATATTACTACTACCAAGCATTATATGCAATTGATATTAATCCCAAACACTGAATATATATCTTTTGATAAAAAGATTGAATTCATAGTTACACACAAGATTCAAGTAGTTGATGATATATAGAGATCAGCAGCGTGCCAAATTTAACTTGGGACTCATGAATTGAAATTCAACAACAAAATATTATATGTAGGAAAATAATTGAACCAAACCTTCATATATACGATGGTTTTGTGAAATGCAACAACAATACACTCGTGACTCATAGCTAAATGCCCGTGCATTGCCACGGAGTTCTAAAAATATATGGAGGTTGCCATGGAGTTATAAATATATGTAGGATTCATAGGTCGGTGTTGACTTGGGTGATAGGATGAGTTAATCGAAAGGAGGTCAGTTATAGGATGGGGTCAAAGAAAACCTAGGTAAAGATGATGCCAAATGCAGTCTGCAACCCATGTCAACCCATGCGCTAGAACTGGATAGCTATCTTCATGGACACAAATATACCATTGTTTGGTTCTATTCTCTTTTAGTTTGTAGAGTAAGAATTTGAATAATTTGAGTATCATTCTATCTCTCAGTTGTTGAGAAATTGTGATCAAACCATGCAATGAAGGAACCAAATCAAAAGAAGCTTTCACTTGTGCTTTCTAGCCATTTAAAATAAGCATGTGACATCAAATTATTTAATGGTGTGTCAGCCAATTCCATGATTTTCTAGAAGAGAGAGGCTCGCACTTCACAATATTCATAATTTCAAGGTATGAAAACCTTGCACACACACCTAAATTCAATAAAATATACGACAAATATATAAACAATTATACAATACACACTTGTGACACTATAAACAAATAACTTCAGTTCATGACAGCCTGATCATCCCAGGCCCAGCTTCCAGGGTTTCCACCCCTCCCATCATGTACGGCTCCCCCTCCCACCTCCGTTTTTTGTCTCCCCTCCCCTTTCGCAAAAGAAAACGGTTTTACCCATGCATGTTCACCGCTGGAAATAAGCCCGAACTCATGCATGCACATGCTTTAAAAAAGCCGGCCGACCCGAAAAGGAAATCTTGCCCACACACTCCGGAGGTGAGCTCGTCCAATCTTGCCACCACTCCATCTCCCCCGATTGTCGTTCTCCACCTTCCCAGCCCTCGCCACTTCACCTCCCCCATCCATGCACCGCTTTTGTAGGCAGCCCTGTCATCGCCGCCTTCATCGATGGCCCCCTCGCCACCACCACAGCGTGATGCCTTGCCATCATCTCCATGCCCCCATCAGTTGCGTCCACTAATCAAATAGTGGGACCTACAAACAGATTATACACTAAAAACTTAGTACGCAAGATTAGTGCAACCCCAAACCAGATTCAGCGAACTAAACCAAATATAACTCCCAGGCAAAGAAGGGTACCTCCCCATCAGTTCCATAGAGTCACACGATCGACAACATATACAGATTTCCGATCAGATGAGTAGACAATGTTGCGAACCTCCCCAGACCATTCTGCAAAGGGTTACAAAATGGTAGATAGAAAATAGGGATGCATTTTATGTCCTCGTAGAAAGGACATATAGATATAATATATATGTCCAGAAATTTACCTGGAGCATGTACATTTAGAATTTTGTTAGCAACTCACCTGTAGAAGGCATAAAAATTAAGGTCACCAGACACAAAATTAAAAAATACATACACATCATGTATGTTCACGATCATGTGAAGTGAAATAATTTTGAACAATAAACCAAAAAATGACGTGTTAAATTAGTCTACGTTCCCAGGAGGCCAAACAGAAATCAAAAGATGTCATGTTCAGTTTATTTATCTGATAGGAAATGCTCTCTAGTTATATTATTACAGTTATCAGTCTACAAACTGAAAGGCATTGTGCTATTCATGACAGTTCTCTTGAACTTCTGATGCAAGAATGCAAATTCGAATGACAAGAATAGACGGTGCCCCTTAATATAGACCCAAAATTAATTTAGTAAACCCATTGATCACAAGATTTTCCGACAGAAACACGATAGACTTCCCGACCTAGCCCTAGAACGGAACCCGTAACGTCCCCCGCCGCTCGGTCCCCAGCCCGCACTGTCGTGGGCGCCTCCCACACCGGCGGCATCCCTTCGGGGTCCCCAAGATGACGAGCGATCCGGCGCGGCGGAAAGGGCTGGCACTGCGGAGCAGCGACTCGGTCGGAAGCCTGGCCAGCGCCAGCAGCTCCCTCCATCATCGCCGCCCTCGGCCACATCCAACGCGGTCGTCGGCCACGAAGAGGCGGACGAGCCCGGCAGCAGGGTGTTGTCCCTCCCATCGCTTTCATGTTCGACTACTCTTCCTTGGATCGCCTACCACCACAGATGCAGGGATCCTCTTGACTCACACGCCGACCATGCCTCAACCAGCGAGCATCGGCGCATCGCCGGCGCGCTCCTCTGTGCTCTCCCTCCTCTCTTCCATGGTTGGCACAAGGGAGGGATGAGACGGGCAGGAGAGAGCCTCTTTATCTAGATCAGGCAGGGGTTAGGTTTGGAAAGAGTAAATCAGCTGGAGCGATTGAGGGAAGGAGATCGGAATGGAGCAGGGCGCGATTGAAGGGTATGGCAAGAAGAACTTTTTTGGAAAGCTTTGATTCTGGTGATAATTACCATATTCGAAATTTCCTTAGTTATAGCCTTACCATACATGGATTGATTTATTACTATAATTATCAAATTTGAGATTTCTAAGTTTATAGCCTTACCATACGTGGATTAATTGTGATTGATTACCATAAATACGTTGGGTATTGTCGGCCAGACGAGAAAGAGAAAAACCGGTGGGAGGGGGGTGGTGGGAGGTGGGACGAAGAAAAACCGGTTGAAGAAAAACCGGTTGAAAAAAAACCGGTTGAAAATAAACCGGTTGAAAGTGGGGGGGACTATTCAACCAATTCGTCCATTAGGAGTAGAGACTATTGCTCATTAAAAATGTTTTACTCGTTATAATTGCCCATTAAAAAGATTTCATCGTATATATCCTTATTGCTCACTAAATCTTACTACTACTATTGCTCATTAAAATCTTGTACTCGTTATTATTACTCTCTCCGTTTTTATTTACTCGGCATATAAGATTTGACTGAAGGCAAACTTTGTAAAGTTTGATCAAGTTTATAGAAAACAATATAAACACTTACCATAACAAATCTATATGATGTGAAAATACATTCAACAATGGATCTAATGGTATTGATTTGTTATTGTATATCTTAATATTTTTATTTATAAACTTTGTTAAAATTTACAAAGCTTGACTTCGACCAAACCTAATACACGGACTAAGTAAAAACGGAGAAAGTATTATTGTCCATCAAAAAGTTTTCACCGTATATATCCCGGCAGTAAAAGTGTTTCATTGTACTACTTTACTCCTCCCTCCGTTTTAAAACATAATAATGTGTATTAGTTCTTTCAAAAGTCAAAGGCTCCTATGCTTTGGCCCCAAAGATCTTAATCAATGGCCAGGCGTTTCAAAATCTTACTACTACTCATTAAAAAGTTGTTACTCATTTATTATTGTCCATTAAAAAGCCATAATTGTATATATTCTAGTAGTAGCAAAAAGGTTTCATTGTCCTGTATAACTTAGTGGTAAAAAGTTTCCCATATGCTACTCCATTTTATACGGCCAGACAGCGAGCTGTAAAGATCTCACACGATAACGTACTCATTCACCATTGAAGAGTAATTAAGATACAGTAATACACGTATATATGCTGCATTTATATAGCTAAGTATATTTTTTTTCTCCTTGGAATATATTTGTGCAGGGACTAGACTTCGTAATAGCGGAAGCGAAGAAACGAGGGATCTACTTGATCCTGAGCTTGGTGAACAACATGGACGGCTTTGGCGGGAAGAAGCAGTACGTGCAGTGGGTGCGAGATCGGGGCCACTACCTTGGGTCCGACGACGACTTCTTCTCCGACGCCCTCGCCCAGCAGTTCTACAAGAACCACATCAAGGTCCCTCCCTGCTCGTATTTAACTTCTTATGAACGTGTCGCTGCGCTGTATAGTTTTTCTTTTTGCGAGATATGCACCATATATACGTCATATCATTGTGTTTACATGTGTTTGTGGAACAGAGGATGGTCACGAGAGTCAACACCTTCATGAGGGTGGCGTACAAGGACGAGCCGAGCATCTTCGCGTGGGAGCTGATGAACGAGCCTCGCGCCCCGAGTGACCTCTCCGGAAAGACGATGGAGGTCGGTCACTCACACAAAACAAAACAAAAAACATCTATGACCTCAGTTCACTTCCTATATATCACGCCTGTTTATTTTGGCCATTTCGTTCATCAGTTTGATTTGATGGATTTGCAATTTTGCATGCAGCGCTGGGTGGCGTCGATGTCCGCGTACGTCAAGTCCGTCGACCCCAAGCACATGGTGGAGATCGGCATGGAAGGGTTCTACGGCGAGTCCACGCCGAAGCGCAAGCGGTTCAACCCAGGGAAGGGGTACACCGGCGGCACCGACTTCGTCTCCAACAACCGCATCCCCACCGTCGACTTCGCCACCATCCACATCTACCCCGACCAATGGTAAGCAAAACACACGGGAGTACATCTTCTCCTGGCCCGAACCATCGATGGATTTATTTAACGTGTCACTCGCGCGCGCGTGTGTGGCAGGTTGCCGGGGTCGAGCAGCCAGGCGCAGGTGGAGTTCACCAAGAGGTGGATGGCGTCCCACATCGAGGACGCGGGGAAGGCGCTGCGGAAGCCGCTGCTGGTGGCGGAGTTCGGCTGGTCCGCGCGCTCCGGCGGCTACACGGTGGCGGCGCGGGACGGCTACTTCCGCATGGTGTACGACGCCATCTACGCTTCCGTGAAGGGGGGCGGGCCGTGCGCGGGGGGGCTCTTCTGGCATGTCATGGCGCCCGGGATGGAGAGCTGGACGGACGGCTATGACGTCGTGTTCGAGCGCAGCCCCACCACCGCCGCGGTCGTCTCGCAGGAGTGCGCCAAGATCCACAGATTCACGCCCGCTGTCTAGCTTTTTTTGTGATAGTGGCACATGCATGTGTGTGGAGGAATCGAAGACTTACGAGCCCATCGGATTGGAATTATTTACATCAGGTTGCTAACGAATAGAAGAGCGCTAGGAGTCAGGAATACTCAAGTCACGATTTTCAGTCGGTCAGATTATCTATGAAATTCTGGTTGCCCGCTAGTGCAAATTGGTCCTATTAAGCCTTCTTATAGCACATTATATCCTCAAATTGTGTGCGATGAAGGTATCACACATGATACTCCCTCCGTTCATGAAAACTTGTCCGGCGCACAGTGTATTGGCTTTTGTCCAGAAAAACCTCAAAATTTTAAATCCGTCACGATTCAGCCCATCCCCTTCCTTCCTCCTCCCCCGTCGCCCGCACCTCAGCAGGCACCATCGACTCGTCACCCCTTAATAGCGATTAGGTACCACGTACTCCCTCCGTTCCGCATTACTCGTCGTTGATTTAGTACAACTTTGTACTAAATCAGTGACGAGTAATATGGAACAGAGGAAGTATAATTTTCCTCGTAAGCACA